ATGTTTTATCACAAAAAATAAGGTACCTTACCCGACATTTGACAAAAGTCATATTTCTTATTTAACCCTAATGGATAATCTCTTGAATGACTTTTATCACAATTATGGGTGAACTTATGTCTAAAACATTTTGAAAACAATTTAGAAAGCAGAAGAGAATGGCAAATATAAATAATTTTTAATATAATACCAAGAGAAACAGGATATATATTTGGGAAAAGTGTCGTCTGACCTTTTGTATAAAATCTGAAAATTTCGATGTCTGGTTAAAGTACATAAGAACTGTATTGAGTTAAACGGTGACTATACTGCGATACATGTCCATGACACCTGATCCCACCTCTAATTTTTTGGAGGTCTGGGTTTGTTCTGCTTCTATTTTGAATTGATTTATAGAAATTGAATACTGTTCGTTAAATCCACATGCTTCATATACATGTAGTAAGCTTTTGACGTTGAATAACGTTAAGGACTTCCGTTTTAGTGATCCGGGTATGTCTTTTTTGTATCTGATGTAAATATAACTTAAGTACATGTACCTGTGCCCTGTTTCTGTTTTAACCTACATACGATTAATAAAATGAGACATGAAATCCCTGAATTAGATTTTCATATAGTTTATCAACTTTTGTCAGTGCTTGTCAATATTGTCCAAGAACTTTATGGACCCTCTTTAAATAACCTCCTCACTATCGAACAGGTGTTAAGTAGTCATTGTTTATACAGTAATTAATTAAAACGAGAGAGCAAATGTAGCGATGATGTTTACTTTTAAATGTAGAGCTAAATCTGGTGGCATATTTCATGTTAAATTGATACTTCCGTTGATATTTTATTGCTCATTTTCCAAAAGTTGAAAATATTTTACTGTTAAAGGAAGACATCTTAATATGGTAAAGAGTTGCACATTTTTATGCTTCCGTAAACGATGTTTCGGGGGTATATAGTTTTTGTCGTGTCCGTCTGTCTGTCTGTCTGTCTCTCTGTTTGTCTGTGTGTCCGCAAAAACTTTAACCTTGTCCATAAATTTTGATTCAGTGGAGCTATGACATTCATATTTCACTTGTGTATTTCTTAAGAAAAGACCTTTTTTTGGGGAACCCCCAAATTTGACCTTGACTTTGGAGTTTGACCCATTTTTACATGAAAATTTTAAACTTTTACTTTGGCCATATCTTTTGAACAGTAGATACGAGGACATTTATACTTCTTAATCTAATTTTTGTTTAAATACCTTTCATTGGATACCAACAACCTTGACCCTTTGACCTTGACCTTGGAGATTTCTGTATCTATAAAAAAACTTTAACCTTGGCTATAACTTTTGAACAATAAGTACTAGGGCTTTCATATTTCACATATATAATACTGATGAAACGACCTTCTATTAGATACCAAGAACCTTGACCCATTTGACCTTGACCTTGGAGTTTGACCTACTTTAAAAATACAACATTGACAATAATTTTTGAAGGGTTAGGACAAGGGCATTCATTCTTCACAGGTTCAATTCTCCTTGTGACAAGACCTTTCATTTGATATCAAGAACCTTGACCATTGGTCTTGACCTTGGTGTTTGATCTACTTTTTTTTTTTTACAAACTTTAACTTTGACCATAACTTCTGAACAGTTCGGGTTATAGCTTTCATATTTCACATGTGTAATTCTTGTGACAACACCTTTTCATTGGATAGAACCTTAACCCTTGGACCTTGACCTTAGAGTTTGACCTACTTTTTACAAACTTTAATCTTGGTCATAACTTTTTAACGGTAAGGGCCAGTGCATTCATACTTCCCGTACGTAATCCTTGAGACAAGGCCTTTCTTTAGAAAACAACACCCTTGACCCTTTGACCTTGACCTAGAGTTCCTATCATATAAAATATTTACTTTGATCATAACCCTGGAACAGGTGTAGCTAGTGTTTACATTTCGCATTTTTTGTGAAAAGGCCTTACTTTGGTACCAACATATTTGATCTGCATTTGAGAAAGCTTAACAGTCGCTATGTTGTATACGGAGACATCAGTGTTTCACAAACACATCTTGTTTTTTTTTAATTTATAGTTTATTAAAAAAAAATTTTGTCGCATACTGTTGCCTTTTTTATAATCATACATATCTGTGTTGATTAAACCATTGGCCAATGTTATCATTTAATTTTTAATAACAATTAATAATGCAACTTAAAGTTTTCATTTTGCGATGATTATCTGCTATTTGTAATGTGGATCTACTGATGATTTTCTCTGTATATTTATTATGAATGATTTTGCATCTTATTTTTGTACTTTCCATTCGATGATTTCAAAAAATCACATTTTTGTTGGGAATTTAAAAAAAAGGACTAGAGATTAAAAACCAAAGATACGGTGCGACATACACCTAATACAAACGTGCTTTTCGCCAAACGGGAAAGAACAAATTGCAAGTTCCACTTTAAACAGGAAGTTTGCGCTAATATTTTTTTTTTGCTAAGCAGGCATTAACAGTGTACACATAATGCGTGATAGATTCGATCAATACCTTTGATCTCTTCTACATAAGAACTATAAAACGATGGATTTTGAATTTGATTAATTTCCTACAAGGAAGGTAATTTAAAAAAAAATACTGTATACAGGGTTATTTTCGCCCCGTGTTATTTTCACCCTTTTGAACCTGTGAACAATTTCGCCACGTTTTAATTCGCCCAGTCATAGTTCTGCTTAAGAAATTATGAGATGTAATTTGAATTTGCCCCGTTTTAAATTCGCCCAATCAAGGAGAGGGCGAAAAAGGGGGGAAAATAAAACGGGGGCGAAATTTTCCCTTTATACAGTATGCATTTCATTTCTCTACTTTTGATTTATACCTTGTTCATTTTTTAATCTTGTGACTAACAAAGAAAATTATCGACATATTGAATAAATATAAATAAGACGAATGATTTAAATTCAAAATAATTCTGATGAATTTCAAATCAATATGCTTAGCACTTCCCAGTACTTTCAGTACGTTGATTATAAAAGGTCACACCATTGTGCATATCAGTGAATCTATAAACCAATAGATTATATGCTAGTTATGATAGTGACACCAACATACTCCAGGCCTGAGCAAATTATCCGATGAAAGTGCATTATTTATACGAGAAAAGATGCAATGTTAACAATTCTTTTTTACAATTTTGAACTGTATAAAAACATACTACCTCGTCAAAACTCACGAGGCTATTAAATGTGCAATTTCCACCTAGTTATGTGATCTTTAGAATGGTTCGTTGATTGCGATTAATGTCGTTTCTCATACTTAAAAGCAGTTTGTCCCCACTGAGAGACATTGACATAACAAGAAAACAATTGTTAAATAAATAGACTAAAAAGTATTTTAATATTATTATACCTCATATAAATAAACACAAGTACAGAGGAATCTGATTGGCTGAGGCAGTCACGTGACCGTCGTGTTCGCCCTGCAACAAAACTTCGTGTTTCTCGCATTCGGATCACCTCGGCTGACTACTCTATCCTACATCTAGATGTAATCAGCCGAGGTGTGCAGAACGTGTTTCACGTCGTGTTTCCCGATTGTGACGTCACGAATGCGATGATTAATACTGAGTTCGATTGTTTAAATCTTTGATTAATTATGTCCATACAAATTCTTAAAATATAATTAGTTAGAAAAGTGTTCAATGAGTGGGGAATGAATGTTTCTAACACTGCAGTGTGTAAATCAGAATGACTTGTCACGAAGGTTTTTTTTTATGAAACGCTAGTGGTGTGACTTACACCTATTAATTGGTATTTCATATTGTTCTCATCAAATGTTTACTTTATTTATTGGATTCTCTTTATATTTTCTGCATTGTGCTTGATTCGGTATAATAAAATAATTATTGCATGAATGTTCAGGAGTATGGCCCATGAAAAATCATAGATCCCCCGGGCGTTGCCCTCTTCAAATACGATTTTTCATGGGCGAAAAAGAAATCTTCATGTCTCCCTCACTATCATGCAATAATTGTATATTGTTACATGTTATTAAGAGTCATTAATTGTAAATGTTCGAAATTCTTTTCTTAATAATTGTGACACTCGTATCTGTATACAAGCATTTACAGGATTATAATGCGATGGACATAAAAAAAAAGATCTAGTGTAATGGTTTGCACTTAATATAATCCGAAATACTTCATACTTCTCTCTTACATTATGCATATGTATGTCAGGGCCACATGATGTCTGAATAAATATTACAAATTCTCTAACAATAGTATGATAGGAGATCATATTTTTGTGAGCTTCGACTTAATAATGAAGCTTATTTTTTTTCTTAATTAAAAACTTGCAAACTTGTGTTGTACATAATCTCAAACACAAAAAAAAATAAATTTCAAGTAGGTCAAAAAAGATATCTCGAAAATGCCTAAATGTACTTTAGGATATGTCTAAAGAGTTGTACCATTTAAAACATCAACTAATAGGAAATGATACCATGCACGGTTACTGATATTTCCGTCCTTATGAGTTGTCTGGTTTTATTTTCACTATAGAAATTGACATAAATCTGCATTCACAGTTCTATTACTTCACAAAGTGAAGTATAACATCGGCAATATACATGATTTTTTTTTTTGCGGAGGATGGGTGTGATGATGATGTATTCGTTTCGATATGAATCATGAATAAGATTTCCACATGTTTTACAGATTCTAAGATTTTTCTGCTGTTTAACAAATTAAATTTAGCTTTGAGTCTCTTGATGAAATAAAGGGGGGGCGGGCTAAATGAAAAAGGATTGCTATATTCATGACCACTCTAATTAGAAATTAAGTACTAGATGTTCACAGGAATGGATTTTTTGCATTCCATATCTTTTGCCCTTCCTATCCTTCAAATAATTTTCTTAACGTGAATGAAATAAGTAGATGTTGAAACATAAGAATAAAAGAAAATTCGATATATTTTATTTGCATTTGAATTTCATGTTCCACTTAATAACGGAAGTCTGCGTCATTGTACCAGTTATCTTTTTTTTTAGCCTTTTGTAAACAACGCAAGCGATGAGGAAAATTAAGCTTTTCTTGTCTAGCTTTTACATATTTGAAATTGGAAGGAATCAATTAAGAGAACATTTTACTCCTGATGAATAGGAAAACTTGATTAGCTTCATGGAAATAAGGTAATATTTTGAAAGTATTATACATTTTTATTTTCTACTTTCGGTTCATTTTAATATGTAATTTTCTTTTCAATCTTGGCAGAGGAACAGAGGAAAGTAATCGATAAGATACTTGTGTTTGCAGAACAAATGTAGCAGTCATTTTCAATTAAATGAAATTTTTAATTTATGTCGTTTTTAATGTGTCTGATTACATATAAAAGAGTACTGATTATTACTATAAGAAAATTATCAAAAGTAATAATTACCTTACAGTTTGCTCACCTCTGTTTGCCTATCTGTAAACTGAAGGTCAAGAACTGGAAAACAATATGCACGCGTTGCAGATAAAATTGGTGTATTTACTTCCCGCAATAATCAACGCTGATTGGATTCTGATAACGAAATGGAGGTTCAGATTTTTTTCGTAAAATTAATTTTTAAAAATCATAAACGTTTTATTATTTGCATTGCAATTTAAGTCTATCATCTGTTATGTTTCTTTTTTAATTTCTTTAATAACATATCTATTACTAGTATGATCTTTAAATATCTTACACAGTAAATGTACCTAGAGATATATTTAGATATGCATGTATATTATGTCGATTCTGGCGCAATTATTAGATGAATTATCTAGCTGAGATGAAAAGTATGTACAGTTCGATTCCTGAGTTTCAGTTTTCATATGCGTCATCAAATTCGAGCTTTGAGTATTTAACGTGCAGAAATCTCTCATATACGGAGGGTTATCAACCAACGCTTTATGAAGAAACAGTCAGACATATACCATATATACCTACCTATAACATCTATAAGTCATTTAACATGTTTAAAAAAGGTTATTTGGGAGGAATTAGCTTTTGCTCTGCTTATAAGTCGATTCAACTTTTGACAGAATCGATGTTTTCATTGATGGTTTCAATATATATATATGTAAATACTTGTTTAACATATGTAATCTAAACATGCATAAATGAATACATGTATATATATCCAGATTATGTTCTTCGATAATCGTCGGAAATGCATATAAAATACATTTTTTCTTCCATGAAAATACCAATATCTTTATTACTCGTTTAAAATTCGGACATAATGTTTTAGAAGAGGAAAAAAGAAAAATCCTGACTCAAAGGCATGTATATGCGGTAAGCAACGCATATACTATTTCTGAGTCATTTCTTTTTAACTGTATATACATAGATCTCAATGTACACCTAATGCACTGAGAAACTATTCTGCTAAGCAAATACGTACAGCTATTGAGGGTAACACACAGATTATTCTCGTAAAAAATATGTTTTCAAGGCCAATATTACTCATTAGCAGAAAATATTAGTTTTTGGGGGAGGGGGGTGAAGATTTATTTAATGGACATGGGGTTGTGAATAGCAGGATTTTCACTCTGCTTCATTATTCGATAAGATACCCACCAGAACATTTCATTGTACACATAGTGCTCGAAGGCAACCATAAATATTGATACATGTAGTGACAATTTCTATATATAAGCAATACTCGACACCTTTTCTATGCAACGAAAAAATGATTGGACAGTCATGCTGACAAAGAATAAATGGTTTCATACTGCTTCAACTTATTTATCCCTAATGTCAATTTTGAAGGAATATTTCACTCAAACTAAATGGTTACGGTGTTAATGCCATCCGGTGTAACGACGAAAAGTGACCCCCGTAGAATATTGACCGGGGTCATTTTTCTACGTAGAAATTTGACCCCCTGGTCAATATTCTTCTTAGAAAAATGACCCACTTTTCTGTAGAAATTATGGCCTTGGGGTCGTTTTTCTCCGTGTGCATTGTAGAAAAATGACCCCGTAGAATAATGACCCCTTGTCATTTTTTTAATGCAAAAAACATTTGTTTTGGTAGGAATATTTTTGTTAGGCGATTGTATACGGGTAACATCAATCAGCCTTATGCTTTGAAGTGTTAATTTCAGAAAGCTTATAAGCTTAAATAACGAAATCAAAGCTATACAATACCTTATATTAATAATACAAACCGTTTTATCCCCATTAAAGGAAAACAATATCTATTAAAATTTTCTCAGTCTATTACATGTAGAGCAAAGATAATCGTTTATTACATTTTCTACAGTAAGTTTCCATAGTTGTCAATTTTAAAAAAGGTTATTTTCTCGCTGGTGTTAGAAATTTTTCCATAATTAATTAATTATAAATCTCTGATTTTATTTGCAAAACTCAAAATAAAGTTTTATTTTTCAAAAGTTTAACGTTTTTGATCCGTACTTTTACAACGGGTGCGAAAAAGGGCGCTATCGTAGAAAATTAAATCTTATAATAATACTTGTTTTTTCTATTAATGAAGTTTCAAACTTCTCATGAAAAAAAGGGATAATGGGGCGGGGTAATTTGTAAAAATAAATACGAAATATAATTGCTTCTGACCTATGATACAAAGGAAAATTGAATCTTATGGTAATATTTCTTTTTCTATTAATGAAGTTTCAAACTTCTCCTAAAAAATAGGGATGATTAAATTTGTAAAAATAAGTACGAAATTAAATTGCCTCTGACCTATGACACAAAGGAAAGAAAAATTAGTTAGCTCAAAACCTGTAAAATGTCTTGTCGTTTGCGAGTGTGAACAAAAGCCATGCTGTCTTAACTATGGCAATTTCCATTCCTACATCGATACGATATATCCTGGTTAGCTTGAGATAAAAGATACTACAGAGTCTGACACATCTGTTTCATACTTGGATATTTTACTTGAAAAAGACGTTAATGGTAATTTAACAACCAAGCTATATGATAAACTTGATGACTTTAACTTTTCTATCATCAACTTCCCTTACTTATGCAGCAATATACACCTTCATCACCTGCATACGGAGTTTATAAATCTCAGTTGACTCGATACGCAAGAGTGTTCGAAGTATGAACAATTTATAAAACGAGGTAAATTATTGACAAGCAAGTTGATGAAGCAAGAATATCATCAGTCTCGTTTAAAGTCATCATTTCGTTAAGTTCTCTGGTCGATACAATGACCTTGTCAGCAAATACAATTTTTCATTGAGTGAAATACTGACTGACGTTTTTCATATTAATTGTTAGTCCATTATTTATGCACTGAATTGACGACAGTTGCTTCCCATTTTTATGTAATGTATATATAAGTCTTTAGTATATAAAGTATATTCCGTATTACCCCTCAAAGTGTCTACATAACGAATTTATCCTGCCGATGGTTCTCTAAAGAACTAAATATTTATAGTATCGATATTCGATAAACCACTTTCACTGAGCGTCCAAGCAAGACGTTCTGTATCCATTCTTTGCGTCAGACGCATTGTGAACGTCAGTTATGAGGCTCCATACGGGTCACGTGAAAGCAGTATATTGATGATGTGTGGTTGGTAAATTTTTAATATATGGTGGGTAGGTCACGCGGAGGGGGATCATTAGCAATGTGAGGTGAGTAGACAGACATAACATTGTTTCATGCAGTATTGTTCTCGATCAATGAAATTTCACGATTTTTATCAGAGGCAGGATAATTGTATTTTGAGAGTAAGTGTCTTAAATCTCAGAAGAAAGGGGATTTACAGCAACCATTTGTCAGGTGTCTGTGGGCTAAAAAGTGTTGGAAAGAAAAGTGTTTTTTTAAATTTATAGATATCTTAGACTCTGGTGGTTGAGCTATTATTCACTCATATGTATATATTTTTGCTAGTTTTGGAGGTTTTTTTTTAAAATATCATAAGAACGTTCTCTATATGTTTGGTATTCCATGCATATACAGGAAAAAGTAAAGTGCCTTTTAGTACCTTATGGAATGTAGTTAAAAAGTATGTATTTTAAACCAGATTGCATACAGATGTATATGCAAGTTTATAGGTAAAAGCTAAGGGAATGGAATTCATATAGTTAAATTACGTTGCTTTTCTTGCTTCTTAGGCTATGTTTTTGGATTTGTAAAATTTTTCAAAGCTTATGGTTTTCAGAAACTTATCATACCATTTTCGGAACAAAACCTTTGAATGATAAAAAAAAAACACCCAAAAAACTAATTATACATATATGCTCCTCAATGAAGAAGGATATGAAGATCATGAACAGTATTTAATATCAAAATCCATAAACCAATACAAAATAGGAGCAGACCACACAGATGTGTCAGACTCTGTATTATCTTTTATCTCAAGCTAACCAAATATATCGTATCGATGTAGGAATGGAAATTGCTATAGTTAATTGACAATACGTCGTCGATATATCTAAATGTTGAGTTGAAGGCCACAGAAAGTGTTTTCTTCTTTTCACGTAAAAGCTTTTGAACATATTCTGCTTCATATGAAAACAAAAACAGGTCTGTTATTAACGGAGCGCAATTGGTACCCATAAGAATTCCAATAGATTGTGGGTAGACCTGGTCTCCAAACACCACATAGATTTTTTCAATCAGAAACTCAAGCATCTTTTTGATGTCAACTTCAGAGGACTAGTGTGTGCAATCAGAATGTGTTTTCAAAATAATTTTGCAAATGACCAATGACCAGGTAAGTAAATTTATGAGTTCCATTTTTATTGAAAAAGCAGCTGTCAATGATATCAAAAAGCCTGGACTTTAATTTATCACGGGGTATGGTTGTGTATAAACTTGAAGAGTCTAAGTTTTTAAGCTGTTGATTTTGGAAAAAATCTTGTGATTTCAAATTGTCCAAAAGTTCTTTAGACTTTTTGAGTAAACACATCTAAATCACACTACTTCTTGAATATATTGTTGTACAGTACTCTTGAAGTTTTTCATTGGGATTCTGCAAGCCAAAAATAAATCCATACCAGATACATTGATTGTGATGCTACTATTAAGATATGCAATCAAATATATGTTGGAAAGGATTAAAGTACATAAAAAATCCCCCCTACTTACATTTGAAAGTATGAAAAATTATCAGGAGACACAGATAAAAGGTTTTTTAGTATAAAAATGCAAGGGGTCAAATTTCTATGGGGTCATTTTTCAACGTGTGTGGAGTCGTAGAATTAATGGTCTGGAATGTTTTTCTACAGTTGAAAAATGACCTTACTTGTCGTAGAATATTGACCCAGGGTCATTTTTCTACGTAGAAAAATGACCCCCAGGTCAATATTCTACTGGGTCACTTTTCGTCGTTACACCGGCCCGAGAGTTGATGGGAGTTCAAAAGCCGTATTCTTTTGTACAATCCAATATAAATCTAGATACGTTACCTATGAATAAACTCAAAACTAGAAACACTCAAAATTAAATAAAGTATGCACTTTGCGATGGAACTCCTCAATCGTTATGAGGAATGACAAAAAGGTTTAAAAGGTTTAAAAAATAATGATATTGTAAGTTTTATATATTCATTGTACAACTTATTCAGAACAAGGAAATATGGACCTGTATTTTACTAAAATACGAAATTAATGTAAAAGAGGTATTTCCATCCTCCTGTGATATCACAGATTTTCGAAAAATCTTTTAATAATATAAAATTTTTACCTTAAATCTATATCTTTGTGAAAATTTTTAATTGTTTAGAAACAAAAACGATTCTTTACTCTCACTTAAATGTGTAAGATACCTAGCATTCATTTTATTTTTTTGCTTGTTTCAGATGGATATACCAATCCATCTCTATTCATTTGATAATTTATTCCACCCTGGATATATCTTTGATTTAGGTAAGAAAAAAGAAAATCGTTATTTGCAAACAGTGGTCTAGCATCGTTTTTGAAAGTGGGGGGGGGGGGGGCCAGCCAGAGAAAATTATTTTTTACTTACCTGAAAAACTTGACAAGCAAAAAAAAAAGGAAAAAGTTAAATGTTGCCCAAAGTCAAAAATCCTATTTCGTGGGGGGGGGGGGGGGGGTATAGGTGAACTTTTTTTGGAACCCATTTTAATACTACATTTTCGGCATATCGCTAAAAGTCTAAGGTGGGGGGCAACCAGGCTTTAAATTGATATTTCCTATGGTATAAGTAAGGTTGGGAAAAAAATGGGGGGGGGGCCCCCCCCCCTGCCCCCCTCCCCCCGGATGCTACGCCCCTGGCAAACAAAATGGATGATTTCATGCATAATTTACGTTCTACTTTTGAGAACAATTTAAACAAATTTTCTATTAAGCAAGTTAATTTGCTTCAAAAAAGCATTCTATTGATATTGATGTCCACTGTAATTATGACTTTAATTAAAATTCATATACAATGTAGAATAAGAAAATAAAATGTAACACAGTGTCTACATTCATGTATCATAGAGAGGTAACACTCGCAGTCATTTATTCTTCTTTAGGAATTCAAGCACAATATGGTTTTGTCTGTAGATTGATCTGTAAAATTTTCTCAGGTTCGTATTTTTTTGATTGCTTTAGTAACGTTCACATCGATTTGTTTTATTCATTTTTCATTCAATTGTAACTGGAATAGTGTAATGTTTTTGATTTGCATTTGTTCCATTTTGGTTCATTTTCATCAAATCAATCTACTTATTTTTAAAGGGAGAAACATAGCAATGACAGTTCTTGGAACAATAGGTTTCCTGCGATTGTGGTGCAGAAAGATGAGGCATACTAGTAAGAATTCATCCTGCTTGCGATTTGTTTTACGTTTAACACTTAACCAACTCTTGCAATAAATTATTAAAAAGAAATGAAAAAAGAGAAATCAATCTTTAATTTACCTTAAATATCATAAAATAATAAAATGGCGTCTTGAAAGGCAATCTTTGATTCATTTTTACAGAGAAGGTTTTTTGCATACAAAACTCAAAGAAATCAAGTCATTTGTTCGATAACTATTTTGGCAAGGAATTTCCAGAGTATGCATTACAAAGACATAGATCACAGGGATTCTCTCAAACCCTATTCCCAAGTCCTGGTTGTTTGTTACGCTTCCGCTCGACTGAAGGACGAAATTGATACATCATTAGAAAACATTTCATATAAAGGTAAGAGAGTTCATTCATTTATAATAATTTTAAGAAAATCCTCTTTTTTATTTTTTTCGTATCTGAAAAATTACTTTTTCTTTTATTTCATATCTAAAAAATATTATATTTTTTATTATTTCAAATAAAATTAATGCTGATCATAATACATTCATGTGAACCAACCAAAGATCAACGAAAATTCTGGACAGGTGCTCGGACAGAAGAGTTAAATCTTTTACAACTCTGCTGATATGGAACGGTGTGTTTTATCCTTGTCCGACGAACAAGGACGCTAGAAGGACCATTATGTTTTATCTAAAAAGGAAATAAACACACTAAGAAACACTTATATTGACAACTTTTCTTTATCCCCCTGGAAGGATATAGTAACGTGCTTGTGAATATTTGAATTGATGTGTCCTTATATGTAAAACGAAAGTAACGTTGACGTGTTTTGCATTGTGGAATGCTATTTAATTCTATAGATACACTCTATTGCAAGAATGTTTTTATCGACATATTTTTGCATTTTTATCATCGATGGTATATTTTAAATAAATTATGTACCTCTAATTTAAAGTCATTTTTAATTTTTGTTCACTTCAGTTTCATATATATCAGAAATATCAGCCTATACACGTACTTCTGTAATGTATTACTTTTTGGTGATCCGTGTTACATAAGTGACTAAAAATTAACAAACTGTTATCCTTCTTTCTGCATCGTTTGTTTATAGTCATATCTTTTAAAACATTTTTCATGTTCCATGATTCTTAAAACTAGACACAAAAATGTCAATGGATAACCTGGATTGCTAGGTCGTTAGACCGAAATCCTCCCAACCCCCACAGGTTGCATAGTAAATGAAAATACATCATTTTTGTGTTTCATTTGACTATGTATTACCAAGTCTACCTGAATGGTATATAATGTTTACTACGGGTTTGTACGAGTAACACAGAGGCTTACTCGTTCTACCCATATGTTTCCATTTCTGGTATGACTAGTGTAAATGTCGTTTTCTGTATGAGATCAATGAAATTGTTAACTGTTTATTATTTCGACTGTAAGACTACGATAATTCAAAATAATTGTTATTGATGAATAATATCAAAATTAGGACAATAAAAAAGAATACAGTAAAATTAAAAATAGCAATATTCTTTATGTCATACAGGCCTGGCCATCTAGTACATGTATCATCATCTTATTACTACTTAACGGGAACATAAATAAATCCAATAATCAAAAATTTATGCACAATAACATGCATTATTCAAATATAATGCATGCTAAACGCATCTTAAAACTGATATACATAAGAATGACCACGAGTTCACAGGACTCATATCATCCCGTGCAACTATGAAAACGAAACTTATATGTTATCAATTTTGCGTGACAGTAAATATTAACCTCTTAGTCATGGATATAATTGTTATTTATAGGCGTATATATACTGCACTCTGCATATTTTAATACTAAGATAACATTGTTTTTTTTTTTCTTATCTGGCAGTTATGTATATCGCTTTCATATACAGGATAGATATACGTAATACCTCAAATATTTTTAAATTCGCGGCAAAATAACGACAAAAAGAAGTCATTTTCTCTGTGATCAAGTTATTTTTTTTCTTTTTTAATGATTTTTATTTTGTACAAATTAATTATTAACATTTGCATAATCTAAATCATTAAAAGTTCAATTATAGAACTGTCAGTAGCAATCGCTGTGAAGTCTTTTATTATGTTCCCCAAACGAAGTTGGGGAACATATTGTTTTTACTCTGTTTCTTCCTTATTGTTTTCCGTCGGTTTCCTATTATTATTATTATTATTATTATTATTAAGGTCTTCCGACTTCCTTCGGAAGACCTTATTGTTTTCCGTCGGTTTCCTATTATTATTATTATAATCCTTTTTTCATTTCCATGGCGATATCTCCGCTGTGACTGTACAGATTTCAAAGATTTTTTCAGGAAAGATGCACCAGCTTAATATCTCCAGACGTGTTTTTCATTTTTTCAAAATTTTCTTCCGTTCGCGATTTTTGGGGAAATTTGTATTTTTTAAATGGATTTTTGTACACAACTTTTCTCGAAAACGGCTAAAGATATGACATTGAAACTTATGGACATGAAAGACCATCACATGTAGATGTGCCGAACGTCCTTCATTTTTTATCGTTCCTACTTCCGGTCGCAAACGGAAGTGAATTCAAAAAGTCTAATTTTTCAACTTTTTTGTTTTTTCAATATTTTTCGTTTAGATTTACAGGGTTTATAGAGCGTCTTCAAAGATATCTATATATGTTTTCATTTTCTTCATGCGTGTGTTTATTGCAAAGATATGACCGAACCAAACTTTGTCTTACTGTCGGGGGTTCGAATCCCGCTCGGGGCGTTCCCCAAATTTTTTCTTTGTTTTTGTCTTTTTTCAGTTGCAAATTACTTTTCACTCTTTTATAACATGTGTGGAACATTTTGCCGATTTTTTAAAGCTATATTTGGAGATATTTTGTGAAATACCTAGAACAATCACGATCTGTGTTGTGAAACTACTGTAAATGAACGTAAGCGAAAAAATACATTCTGAAATCTATTTCATTGGATGACGCAGCATAGAACTCTAAAGAAAAGTCGGTCGGAAGACCTATTTGTTGCCCTTGCAACAAGAACGCATCTAGTTATTATTATTATTCTTTTTTCATAGTTATGGCGATTTCTCAGCTGTGACTTGACGGATTTCAAAGATTTTTACAGGAAAGATGCATCAGATTAATATCTCCAGACGTGTTTTTCATTTTTTCAAAATTTGCTTCCATTCGCGATTTTTTCGGAAATTTGTATTTTTTAAATGGATTTTTGTACCCCAGTTTTCTCGAAAACGGCTAAAGATATGACATTGAAACTCATGGACATGAAAGAGCATCACATTTAGATGTGCCGAACGTCCTTCATTTTTTGTCGTTCCTACGGAAGTGAATTCAAAAAGTCTAATTTTTCAACTTTTTTGTTTTTTAATATTTTTCTTTCAGATTTACAGGGTTAATAGAAGGTCTTCAAAGATATCTATATATGTTTTCATTTTTTTCATGCGTGCGTTTATTGCAAAGATATGACACAACCAAACTTTGTCTTACTGTCGCGGGTTCGAATCCCGCTCGGGGCGTTCCCCAAATTTTTTCTTTGTTTTTGTCTTTTTTCAGTTGCAAATTACTTTTCACTCTTTTATAACATGTATGGAAAATTTTGCCGATTTTTAAAAGCTATATTTGGAGATATTTTGTGAAATACCTGGAACAATCACGATCTGTGTTGAGAAACTACTGTAAATGAACGTTAACGAAAAAAAAAACATTATAGAATCTATTTCATAGGATGACGGAGACTAGATTGCTAAAGAGAAGTCCCTCGGAAGACCTGCTTGTTGCACCAGCAACAAGAACGCATCTAGTTATTATTATTATTCTTTTTTGACATATTTTGTGCAGGCGATTTCTCGAGAACTATTCAGCGGTTTTCAATGAAACTTTCACAAAATATGTGTCTTTATATGAAGTTGTTACATCCGAAAAAAATATTTGGAAAATTCGCTTCTGGTGCCAAGTTATGGACAATTTCCTGATTTTAAAATGCGATTTTGTCGCGCACTTTTATCGAAAATGGTTGAAGATATAAACTGGAGACTTATTGGAGATGATAGATCATGACTTTGTGGTTTGCAGAATTGCCTTTTCGTGCGTCGTCAGCACTTCCGGTTTCTGCCGGAAGCATATTTAAAAAATGCAATTTTTTTTATTTTTTTGTTTTTCAATATTTTTCTTTGGTATTTTTAATTTAAATAGAGACTCATTTGCAAATGCGTAATATGTAATTTCTTTTAGAATCGAAAAAGCTAATCTCGAGATATTTGCATTTAAAAATTTGAAGCGGTGTTTTCAATGGCCGAATGGTTAGCGCGTTGGATTGTCACGCGGGCGACCCGGGTTCGCTCCCCCGAATGTCCGACTTTTTTTTATCAGTTTTTCTGCTAGATTTTTCGTTTTTTATTTCAGAATCGGACGGAAGACCTCTCGTTGCTTGCAACGAGTTTCTTTTCTAGTTCTTCTTATTTTTATTCTTTTTTTTGACAAAATTTTGTACAGGCGATTTCTCGAAAACTATTCAGTGGTTTTTCATGAAACTTTCACAAAATATGTGTCATAATATGAAGTTGTTACATCCGAAGAGAAATTTTAAAAATTCGCTTCTGGTGCCAAGTTATGGACAATTTCCTGATTTTAAAATGCAATTTTGTCGCCCCTTTTTATCGAAAATGGCTAAAGATATGACCTGGAGACTTATTGGAGACGATAGCTTGTCACTTTGTGGTTTGCGGAATCACCTTCTCGTGCGTCGTCAGTACTTCCGATTGTTACGAGATGCAAATTTAAAAAAATCGTATTTTCTAACTTTTTTGTTTTTCAGTATTTTTCATTTATTTTTTGTATGTTAATAGAAATCCTCCTCATAATGCTTACTTTATAATTTGTTTGAATGTTGATAAATCTTAACTCTATATATTAGCATTCAAAAATTTGAAGCGAGTCCAAAATGGCGGATGTCTCTGTCAACGCCGAAATTTCGCAATAGGGGTTGACAGAGTCAGCCGAGCGTTTGCTTGAATGAAAGTAACATAAGGCTAAATGAAATGTAAAGGAATACTTGTATTGTCACGTCGTAGTTTCATTGCAGTTCTGTGTCAAACTAACGTCTTCTATAATTGATAAAAGACTAAGTGTGCCAAGGAAATTCGAAACCTAATATCTATTATGCACCATGGAAAAAGAGATCTTTTATCATGCTTTACAATAATGCTTTCTCAAAAAAGAATATCGATTAATATTTTAAGTAT